CATTGTGACGAGAGAATCCCCATCCTCGAAAATCCGAGATAATCATCGGCCTCCGAAGTCCACCTCTCCTTGGAGCATTTTTTTTATCTCTCTCTCTCTCTCTCTCTCTCTTCGAAGAGCCTGCAGGTAATTGCATGAGCTCCAACAGCAAAGGTAGAGGCGATAGAGAGAAAGAAAGAGAGAAAGAAGAAGGTAAGTCTCATGTCTCAAACTTTCTCCACTCTTCAAATAGGTCGATCGATGTCTGAGGTATCGTTCTGCAAAGGAGGCTATATTTTCGCCGACAGGGTGCATTTGCGCCTTGATTGAGATCCAAAGTGGTCCTTGCATGCATAAGCTACCTGCAGGTAACTCGAATCGATAATGAGACTCCCTCAAGCTGTCGTCGAAGGAATGAGACTTTGAAGTTCGATTTTTTTTTGTTAGGCGCGCAATTAACCCAGATCAATCGGTAGATTGATATGAAAATGTTTTAATGGGGATTATATATACCGTATATTGTGTTGGGTGATTGAGCGATTGTATGTATGTGACAATATGTAGTTCCCCCACTAAGATGGGTTATGGCAAGGCGCCCAAAAATCTGGAATCTGAAAGTCGATCGGGCCGAATGAGATAAACTGGCGGTATCGGCCATTCACTCATCGCGCCATTATATTAAGAATGCCAAGATGACTCCGTTGCCATTTGGCAGATGACAGAGCGCCAGATGAGGGTTCCTTCACCTCGCGCCAATTTTTGCCTTCTGTTCCGGTTCCGGGTGGGGAATTATGAGCCCATCAAAGTTCGACTCATCGGGCAATAAATCGATCGAACGGGCCACTATCGCCAGGATTGAAACTTTCGACCAATTAGCAGTCTTATTCTATTTTTTACTCATCTCAACGAGATTATTTTTAAGAGCCGAGAAGGTGAGGACGGAGTGAATTCCACAGCCAAGGTTGGAGTATGCCCAAGCCGATCGCGTGCCAAGTTCCCTCATCTTCTACTAAATGGAAGAAAAATAATTTCCGGAACCCCCGCCAACCGGCTATGGTCTACGTGGGAGACCCTCGTACCATTACGGAGTGAGCTCGGACAGCCTTGTGAAACATCAACGTCGGAAGAGAAATGTTTTGGCCGAGGGTCACTTTCCGACGATGAATCATGTGATTCCTCTTGGTGGGCGTCCGTCTGGAAATTAATGCTTTTTCAGTCTTCACACGTCTTCGGCCGGTTATCGCCAGTTCATTAGAACCTTACGTGAGACGGGGAATTAATTGGAGACGGAAAGGGAGATGAATGGACGTGACCCGAGATTAGGGACCTCGTCGGACGTAGGCATCGGGCACGTCGACTCATTGGGGTCGGTCGACGGTCGACCGATTTTCGAGAAAAACGTGCCGACCTTTGCATTCCCTTCGGTTCACTGGGTCACGTGACACGCCACCGTATCATTCATACCTTCCGAACGTGTTGGGTGGAAAAGAAATTGCGCACGCATTTTTTCATACGGACGCAAGTTAACGGAGCGAGGGACCATAATAGCAGGGTCTGGTTTCCTGGCCCACCCATCTCCGTAGAGGACCATACCGAATTGTGGTCTAAACACAATCGTCTCATGTCTGCTCCTTTCCCCACACCTCAATCAATGTTCGTGAGATGCGGCAGAGGCCACGGACACGAACTCGAGGGACATAACTCAAGGTCTTCGAAGAAGCGGGATTTCCTCTTCATCACGCACGGTTATTCGTCAAAAACGAGAGGCAATTAAATAGAGAAGCCTTGAACCTCACTCCTCCACGTGGATATCATCGCAGACAATGGGAAAAAAAAGGGGGGAAAAAAGCGGAAAATAATGGAGATGCGTAAACGAGATGAGTGACGTAGAACGTGGAAGCGAGGCGTATTCTCAAGTCCAAGGTTAGTGAACGTATAATGGAGCTCCGTTCCCTCCCCCAAGGCCCAGGAAAGCACTTCTCTCTTGGGTGTCCGCATATCCGCTTCAGTGTTTCAAGGGCAGATCAGACAGATTATTTATGGGGCACGAACCACCCCCAGCCATTCACCACGGATCATAGAGCAAATACCTTCCAGTCATTAACACAGACGAACGGACGGATCGCCCCAGATTTCGCGCCAGAAACGGCGTGGGAGAGAAGCGCAGAGAATGACGGTGTTTGCATGCATTTCAAAGCGGGGAGACGGAGGGGTCAATCATTTCGGGTCACCGGGATATTCGGGGTTCGGGGTTTCATTTATCACGATGGATCACGGTGACTTTCGACCTTCACCCCGACGCTATGGGAAATACATTCCAGCGTCCGTACACGATCCAGACTTGCATCTATTTGGCCTATTCATGAGGGGCGTACGAGGACGAGGGGGTCCTTGATGGGGTACGAGGGTATATTCTATCGCATCATGATCTTTCTGACCCACTCAGATAAGCCCCATTCATTGTTCTCATTACGGAATACCCTTTCTAATCTCACGGGGTCCGTTGTGAAGGAATCTTGCTACCTTCACCTATAGCGTCAATTGTGCCAGGTACGCTGTCAATTGTGCCAGCCACATTCCGCATAATAGCAAGGAGTTTTTGACAGACTCATTCAAACAAGAATGAGGGCAGGTCCCATTGCATATGCGTATACCAGGTACTTCATTACCGTTCTTTTCCGCCTTTCGAAAATACCTTGGAAATATTTCCTCAACAGCCGTGAAAATCCACCCCGATCCCCAGCGTATGCCAGGAGTTCCGATCGTTATGATGTCGGCTCTAGCATCCTGCTGCTTTCATCCTAACAGATGATACCCGGATTTGGAAGACGATAATACCTCTAACCAGTTAATCCTGGCCCTAAACCAAATTTAAAACATCGATTCCGTCATGAATTTTATCATCGTTTACAATCAATGATATTCATATCTACTTCAATGATCTTTGACCGACCCTTTCCATTTTGGTGAGCAAAATTGCATATTCTATCTGTTGCCTTTATTTGGTGCCATGACCAGAATGGAAATTCAGGACTTCATTCCGAAGTCGTCGATATGAAATTCACAAAAATGAGTCAATTTCTGGACGATTCCAGATCCGGAAATGTCGAAAATTTTCAGGTATCTTTCATCCCCCCTTTTTATTGAACCTCATTGTTGGTCACTGTCGGTGTTTCCTCGCAGTCTGAGCCAATTGCTCTCTTGTTCCAGGAGCATTAAATTCTTTAATGGTCCTTCGTTGAATTGCAAAGGGTTTTATCCGCATACTTAGGTTGGATTCGTAAGATTCTATTCAAAGTTGATTCGCTTAGTTTCCAAAGTTGGATAAGTGATTTAGCTAATTAAAAAAAACTGTTAACTAATGATTAGTAGTCGGTTTCGCCCCTTCAGAGTGATAGCATTTGATATTCGTGAAATGCCATGTAACATTTTCAAGGACGTGACATTCAAATGTCACATCTCGTAAAACTGAAGAGTGAAAGAAGCCGCCTCATTTCATCTCACGGCAGGAAGGAATTTAATTCCATTTCGGGAATTCTGTAGCGATTTTTATTACATTCCAGTGGAGTGGATCCCACGAGGGTAAACAAGTCACGATCATTAAAGCAAAGCATTGAAGCTGGAAAATCACGAGGGTAAAATAAAAATTCAATCGCAGTAAGCGGTCAAGGCCAACACAAAGGCATTTGCTTCGGCGTCTTACATTATTCGAATTGGCAGCGCAGAAAAAGGAGACCCGTTGGATCGGTTCGCCCTGGGCAAGATGATCCGATGGGCGGAAATTATTCATGATTTAAGTCATGGCCTCGTGCTGACGCAATTCCCGGATGATGCTTTCAGGCAGTGAGCTCAGAATGAGCTCAGATCTGCTGACTGCATGGTTGGAGAACGCATGAAGACAGGCTAGTAGGAGCATCACGCCAGATTAGGATCTTCCATAATGCCACTAATAAAAAAAATTCGCATACCCATTTACATTTCTTTCGCACACATGATGCTATCGCAGAATGAAAGCATGCATCGTCAGTACGTAGGTCCAAAGAGTATTTTGAGCATGAGATTCCTGAGACACATGGCATTCTTGAGGGATCAGATCCCCCGCCTTGTGTGCCGTGCTTTATTCCTGCAATCTGCATCTCCAGACGTTGCCACTTGTCATGCAGGTGCTCGGAATGCCGAATGCAGCTTCTGGCTCGATGATGAGTCCCTGGAAAGTGACTCAGGGAGTATGACAGTTCTGCTCTCTCGCCTCTCAGATTACACGGAAGATAGGCGGATTGCCCTAAAATGGGTATCTACCCATTCGTCTCTCCCACGCTTGAAGGGAAGTGCAGATTTTCATTCCACCCATTTCCGAGTAACAGATTTTCAGGCATAGTTTCCGAGGCAGGTGCACGTGGTATGGCGAGCAGATGTGCCGGGATCCGGACCCGCCCACTACTGTAAAGCACCGATCCGAAATCCCGGTGTCCGACTCATTCCACGGTCACTCCCTTTATTTATTTTTCACCATCGGGCGTGGCGGAAATAGGATCCAGATGGAAGGGTTCCTCTCCGAAATAATCCAGGCCAGGAAAGTAGACGTAATGAGTCCATAAAAGAGCAAGAGGAATTTCGAATTGAACTGCTCCTCACGTACGCTGCCAGGTTTCTGTTCTTTCAATCGAAAGTCTTTAGAAGTCTGCTATTCTCCGAAACTCGGTGCCTTTCCTCGACCTTCAAGAACGAAAGGAAGCTATGGATGTCTTTCACGTGTAGAGGTGGGAGGACTTGCCCTCTTTTCCCGGTCACGACGAGAAATGTTGGCGGACAAATTTTGATGGAGTACCCCCCTGAGTCCATTCTCCGGACAAGTCATAATTATAGTCCCTGTTCAATTTCCGGCACTGTCCACACTTCAACCTCGAGAGATCCCATTATTTCCAGTGGCAAACCTTGGCATTTCATGCACCGTTGTGCGTGCGGATTCCGGATTCCCACATTTGTGACAAGAAAATAGGAGATATTAAAAGAGAAGGCCATATTGTAAGGAATAAAAATATTCATTTTCAAGCCACATATGAGAAACAGAAGCACGGGTCTTTTTTCTTTGTATCTTCCCCACAAACCCCCCCAAGTCGAGGCTCTCCAAATAGCAAAAAGTATGTGGACCAAAATTTGTCATTCTTTGGGAAAACAGTCTCAATAGATTCTTCTTATATGATACAACACTGAAACAGAGTCACTCTTCTTCCTGACTTGACAAAAAAAAAGAGAGAATCGGTCACATGACTAGGGAATGAGCAGAAGCAGTTTCTGGTTTCTGCTGAGACAGGGCATGGCACCAAACACTGGGACTCCACAGAGGAAATCGTCTCAGATTACACCGGGAAACCCCGAAAAGAAAACCCACAGAACAGCCGATGAGATCCTGAGTCGAAGGAGATTCGGAGTATTCACGTACCGACGCGGGAGGAAAAAAATCCAAGAGCTGCTTCGAGAAGAAAGAAATCCCAGCGATAACCTGCAATATAAAGGCAAGAGAATGCGGTTGAATGGATCGTAGTCATTACACAGTGATAGAGATGAACGTGAGTGGGAATTTCACGTAAGACCTCCTACCTCGGGAAGGGAAAAACATCTTTGGTCTAGTGCACACCCCCTTCTTCCTCCGGGACAAAGGAGATCAGATATAGAAGTAATTCTCATAATTTCGATATGACGAAGGAGTCTTCACGGGACTTGAGGGCGAGGAGGTTTCACTTCGATCCGATGACCTCGACATCGATAGCTCCAGGCTTTTGCTCCACAACAGCTACAGATCGTAAATCATGCAAATACCATGAATAGATGGAAAGGTGAGGTAAAGTGTCAAAGGACAGTAAAAGTGGGCAAATCGCATTTCAAATCACGACCTCTCGCTCACAAATCTCAAAACGACGTCGCACACCGCAAATCTAGCTTAAATAAATAAATAATTGAGATGATTCCAATCCGATTTAAGTTACGCTTTGGAGGCATCATGCCCGTACAAGCACAGCAAAGTGATCGGTGCTTATAATATAAACATCCTACTTTCTGGATCTTTTAGCTGATTAGTCATTTCGAACAAAATTGTTTGCATCATATCTGCTGATTCGCGAGCCTAATCAAATCTCAGATTGTGATCTCAGTCACATTTAATTCTAAATACGATTTCATTTTGTCCATCTCTGAGGAATGATTTTTAAAAATGAGTATTACCTTCCTGCGTGGAGGGGGTTCCGGGTTTCTCCTGATGACCAGGGCCGTGGTTCTGGGCTCCGGGCAATTTTGTACCACAGACAATGGACAATCATCGGGGTGAAGTTTCCTCTCTAGACCCCTGTTCTGCATCGCCTAAATGCACCAATCAGCATCTTCTTTCATCTCGTGGAACTCAAGGATACATTGAGGATGGGACTTAAACAAAAAAAAAGGGACGAACCTCATGGATGGAGAATCTACTGAGAGGTTCCTTGATGTTGTAGCAGTTGAGAAGGAGTTGGATGAGCTCGTCCACCGTCGTCTTTTCCGAAATCAGCAGGCTTTTGTACTGCGACTACATGTGCACACACATGCGGTTATAACTCTGGTACGGGCCATATGACGAATGGGAAGGACGGAGGGAAAGGACTTACGCCGGGCATGAGACAGGCATCGTGGACCTTGACGAGACCCCCTCGTCGCATCTGCAAGGCAAATTTCGACTCTCCTCGTGGGTGACAAGACTGAAGCTCCGCCGGACACGCCTCGTCATCCAGCACCATTAGCGTCCGGATGGGAACTCCTATGTAAAACCAAATTCCCAATTCAGTCATTCAGCCACGCGCAAAATACGTATGCATATTATTGTCAACGAATACCTAACGGATCTTGGGAGAGGAAGGGGAAAAACTTGACAGAAGATTCGAGGATGAAAAGGGGAAGAAAGGAGTACAAGTGTAACAGTACATCAGATGGTAAGAAAAGCGTGGTGAGGAAGTGGCTTTCAGCTTGAAATTCCTAGTCCATCGACCCTGGGGAAACAATAATACGTGGACCTCCGCGATCGACGGAAGGACTCTTCCTCATTTCACGCCCCGGCCCAATCTATACTCCATTGAAAAGAGTTAATGATCGGGCCACACGAGAGGCGCTTCATCGACGGCAAAACCCATTGTTTGTTTCCGGTAGCTAGGTCATTCCGATCCAGACCGTCCCACTGACTTCACTATCCTACTACGCACTGCCATGGATGAGACATGATACAGGCTTATCACTCGAAACCAGGACCTCCAAACATTCCCATGTATTTGTTTTGTTTCTCTTTTTATTTATTCCGTTCGATACGCTGACACCGTTGCGTCGTGACCCCACGTTTGCTCTCGGATTACTACTCCTGTTTCGCGGACCGGGGAACTTCGACTTCAGCTGCAATGAATGGATGGAATACACGAAAGGTATGTATTGCGATACGTAACGTGATCGTAAATCCGTCTCCTGTCGCACATCAATTTAGTTTTGACGGAAACAGAAACAAGGGATGGAGGAACCATAGAATCACAAGAGAAAAAAGAAGCTGACAGCAGCGAACATCATTATTCTACGAGTCACCTTGACCCTTGATCCAAACTGCTGACATCAGCCGTTGAATTCCTTTCCTTGATGAATCGTGCCAAGAAGATGCCGAACTACGTCATAAGCTGTTCCTGGTTCTCCTTCGAGTTTCAACTCCATTCAGTTCTGATACGCGAGGTTATCGCGACATGGTTTTAATTGCCCCGGGAGGCAGCACTGGCGGACACGGAAATAAGAATGCTGCATATGATTGCAGATTGACCTGGATTTCAGGGGTTTGTCATGCATAAAAAGGCCCTCTCTCGAAGCGTGGGCACGACTTTTCTTCAACGGGCCTGTCAGCTTCCCATATACACGTCCATTATATGTATATTCCATTATGGATAACCAGGCTAGCCTTAATTGGTTCCATCTTCGCTCCCATCCGATTTGAAAGGCAGAGAGAGGGAGAGAGCAAGAGAGAGAGAGAGAGAATGCTTGGGATGAAAAGAGGAAGAGGGAAGAGAACGGAAGCCGATTCGTGTGTACCTACAGCCCTTCAGCCTTTAACACTTCCAAGGCCAAGAATCCTGAAGAGGGGCGGGAAAGAAAAGGGGAAAAACCCCCTTCCTTCCCTCCATGTCAACAAGGGGAAACGGTAGTACTTGCCTAGTTGGTAAAGAATCGCTATTGCAGAGGCTTGCCTTGCCTCTGCGGAAACTTTGACCAACATCTGACCTTAAGATAAAACCAACTTTAAGCCCGTCATGTCTCACACATCCACGGATTATTGCTCACTTCTCCTTTTTAGAAATTATTTGAGATTGGAGTTTCAAAAAGTACTTCAAGACAACACGGGTGGGAAAAGCACACTGTTTTACAGCGCATTTACCTTCTAGTATAGTTTTAGTTTAGCGAAGACGATAGAAGCAGATCCCTAGCTTGTGGGAAACAAAGGAGTGGATAGGAGGGAGATAAGGAGAAAAGAGGTGACCTCTGACTGGCTGACTGGGCACATCTCCGATCACGATTCCCTAATAATCAGGGACTTCCGAATGGAGGGAACGGAAAATGTTCTCACTTGTACACAAAGACCTCTCTCCTCACCTGTCTTGCGGATCAACACCTCCATGGTGAGGTAGAAGAGATTGGGATCTCGGTGCTTCATTTTGTACTTGGACAGAAGGGTGTGGATGAGTTCCCGGCAGGTGGTCTGGTAGCTTATACTCAGCGTCTTGTACTCAATGTCCGGCCGCAGGCATTTTGCGTAGATCTTCATCGTCGCCTGAAACACAAAGGAAAGAAGGGAAATGAAGAAAAAAAAAAAACCTCAGAAGACACCAGTTTCATTCTCTCTGATTTCATGCAACGCTGCGTCGTGAAGGACAGAAACGCAGGAAGTCTCATCCTTTTCCCTCTCTACTTCATTCTATTTCCGCCACAAAGAGGGTAGGCTTCTCCCCCCCCCCCCCCCCCCCCCTCAACGGATTTCCGCAACCGATGAGATCGACCCGAAATTCGAGCCTGGGGAAATAAGAGGCTCGGCGGAAAACCAAAGAACGAGAAGACCCTCGACCGAAAACCACACGTTCTGGGGTCGCCAGGCACCGAAATCTGGGGGATTCCTTGGTTTCTCGTTTCCTTTCGGAATGGGACAATGCCAATGGCGTCATCTAGCGAAGATAATGACCTAATGAAGGGCATCTGGATGCCTTGAATTACCCTCTTTCAGTGCAAGAGATAACAGGAGGAAAGAAAGGAAGCGTGAAAGCCTATCCGAATCGGCTTATATCCCCCTCTTTCCTTAGTATCAGTAGTACCACGCTCTCGTTGGTACACGCAGGTGATATCACCACTGATTCTGACCTCATTTCATGCTGCCTTTGTGAAGGAAGGGGTCGTGAAAACCCACGATTGGCAGTTCACACATACGCTGCTTGTGGTTTGATGAGACAAAAAAAAAGTCGGTCGATTGCAATCGAAGGATGAGAATGATCCATCATGTCATAAATGAGTTATCATGAGCCGCGAGGGAGATAATGCATGGCGAAGAGGAGACGGCTTCGCACAGGACGGATGAATGATGAGAACGAGAAGATGAGAGAAGCTGTGGGGATTTTGTTTAGACAAGCCTCTTGAAAGGTTCCAGGTGTCCCATGCCAACAACGACTCCCCATGCCATTCCATTTCATTCCTCCCTACTCAGCATTTCTCACTTGAAGCTGGCCCCCGGAATGTTTACACTGCTTTGTTCCTGCAATCAGCACCTAATTCCCGTCGAACTTGGGGCTCCATTTACAGGAAACGACACATCCGCCGAGGCAATCTACCTGCAATGGTCTGACGAACTCACACGACTTTTCGGGATCGTGTGAATTGGGGATTTAAAGCTATTGAGGAAGACAGGGGAAGAAAAAGCGAGATGTATGGGAAAAACCTCACGAAACGACGTGAATGTTAATTCAAGGCGGGAATCTTCCGGGGTTTTGCGTTATTTTTGCACAGGTCATTGACATTCCTCACTCGTGCTGATTTGGGCTTTCATGGGAATTGTGCTGAGCCTAACTACACTCTATTGGGGATGCTGGCAGTGAAAACGAGAAAAAGAAGACCCTGGGGAAAATCTCCCATTCTGTCCTTGAAAGGGAAAAGACGACAGGTGCAAGACCCAAACGGTTTTCTTTCTCCCTCTCTCTCAAATTAAATTCCTCATGAAATATTGCGCAGGGAGCCTCCCTTGTCGGCAATTAGATTCTGTGCCACTATCAAGGAGAGGAGAGGTTCCATCAAAGCCTAATTACATAGCATTATTCCTCCATCGCGGTAAAATAATCCTCTCTTATACCTGCAACGAAACGGACCCGGACCCGGACCCTTACCTTCATTGTTCCCAGCACACAACACACGTAAAGCACGTACAGGAGCAGTTACACAGAGAGACTGGTAGGAAACGAGGCATGGAGCACATAGATGAGAGAGAGGGAATGTCCCAAAGGCAAATGGGCTTTTTCTAGGCCACTCATACATTACATCACCTACGGCAAAGCCTGTTGGAAATCTGACGCTACAAACACGGAAGTTTCTCATTATCTTCAACCTACTATATGAAATATGATGCCAGAACTGGTGTATAAAAAATGCATATTTCTCCAAAAAGTATGTCTCTTTTTGGAAGCCATCACGTACCAGTACCTCAAGTGGGATTTTTTTTTTGCATCAGTCAACACCTGAATAGGAGCAAGGCAAATGGTCAAGACGAGCATATAATTGCCTTATCCTAAATCCTCTCTCTCTCTCTCTCTATCTGGCACACTTGAGAGGGACTCTGCACTTGCCCAAAAACTACACACGATCGTGCACGCAAAGAGGGGTAGAAAAAGACTCCGACGATCATCCGTCATGGCAACAATGCCCGCATTTGTCTGCCTCAATGATGAATGGGGTCCAAAAGTACCGGCGGCACTCTTTCCTTTGCAGCTTTCCCTGATATAATCAGCCGACTTCGGGATATATCTCTCATTAGTCCCATTTTATTCTCCAACGGCTAGATAACGTTTGTCCTCTGTCTTGTTTCCCCTCGCGATGCTATCGTCGCGTTTGCATTTTTTTCATTCGGTATAGCTTTGCTCTATGTAACCACCAGCGATTTACCGCTGACAGAGAATGGAATGCAGAATGGTGATGAGAGAAGCCAAGCATACGCAGAGTGGTCTTTTCCTCTCTCTGGGGTGTTCCGGTCTACGGACTTCGGTATGGCCATTGCTTTCCGGGAAATGATGTCGCACATTTCCATCTACCTATCGCTATCTATGCACCTGTTGCAGCTTCTGTCCGACGTCCTTTCATGTCTTCCATCGACATAATGCAGAGCAGGAAAAAAAACTGATCCGATTTCCAATTCTTCTGCATACATAGACTCACTCGAGGACGCGCTGACTCATCAGAACACAATGAACAATACCCATTGAGTTCGAAGCACGCGTCAAAGGATTTAGTACTGTTTTTTTGCTCCTTCTGGAATGTCAGTAAGTCGTGAGGAATGCAAAGATGTCAGTACCCAACCACAACAGATGTCTTCTTTTGTAATCGCCAGAGGAAAAACAGAGAAGGCGGTTACGTTTCAGACAACCTCCGATTAGGGCTAATTTTTCCTTCCTGGCCTTTTTATTGGTTTACGAAATCGCTTTTTTTTTATCCCTCCCAAGCTTAGGAAGGTCTACACCTAGTGCAATTAGCATGCCGACGAGAAGAGACAGAAACATAGGTTAGGTGTTGACAATGGGGAGGGCGGATGGCCTAGTGACTACTCGCTAGTGAGGGCTCCGGAAGTGACATAGACCCGCCCTGGTATGGGAGTGGGTCTTGTATTCGCATCTGCCATCAACATCCACAGCCACGATATCCCTTGATTGATAGTCCGGTCAGTGAGGGGAGGGAGGGGGGAGCTAGAATCTGGTATGTGCAAGGAAGGAGGGGGACGGATAAAAATCAGGATCAGGCGTGGCACCTCAATGTAGAAATCTGACACGAGACAGGGACGCCTGTGATTTCAAGTGAATTTAAAAAATCAACTGCGTGGGATGCAGATAGTCACTAAGGATGCCTACGCAGATCGCTCTCTGGAAAATAGATCTTCGTACATTTACCTCCTTGGTTTCCAATGAACTACTTGAAAGGAGCCCTTCACGATCAAAGCTCAAGGGTGAAGCTCAAAGAAATTCAGTCGGAGAGAGAGTAATAGAGACGTTTCTCTCTTACCATTTGTACGAGCTGAGGTGAAGAATCCCCGGTGAGGCTTGTATAACTGGATGATCGGGATGAGAGTGTATTTTCAGGGCTCAAACTCCCATAACTCATAGTGGAATTGATACTCATGGTGTCGTCCCGATGCCTCATGATATATGACCCAATCGGGGTGGAACATTGGCTCCGAGGCGGAACCACGTGCACGTGCTTCAACATCGTCTTCACCTGATGGGGAATAAGATGAGAAGGAAAAAAATCAAAATTTAAGGACGAAAACGAGTGAGGGATGAGATACAGTACTGAAAAGGCGGGCCTGCACTGTCATGTTCCACTCATCTGTTTCACTTTCCTCACAGCTGACATAACGTTCTCCTTCTAGAACTATTGCATCACGAACTCCGTGTTCTGCTTCACGGACTTCCAGTATGGAGATGATGTTTCTGAGAAACCCCTTCCCTCAATGACTATATCGAAGGGAAAACCCAGACGAAAATGCTTTCGAAGGACGAGGATGGGAACATTCCTTGGCATCACGATCTCATAATGGCCCATCAGAGATTGTAAAAAGCGTTCATCTCGCCTGAGAGTTTTCCTTCCCCCGAGGTCAGAAACGGGAGCAGGGATAAGAGAGTAGAGGATCCCTGACCCCTTGCCCAAATTACGGGTCCAAAGATTACACACGATGATCCCTGGATCGGGATTTCGTACACAAAGAGGCTTCCGGATGTGTGATTGCAAAACACGACCCTCCCTGCACATAGCCAAGCCTAGGCGCTTTTTTTTTCTTTCCTTTTCTTCTCCCGGTCTTCTAATCTAAGGTGAAAGGGAGGTCCGGATTCATTTGGGGCAAGGTCGCCTGGAGTCTCTTCTTCACTCCATTCCCAAATGATGAGAAGGAATCCGACATAATACACCACGGTTCTTCTCAGCCTAGTTGCACAACCTCATTGCTTATTTGCCTGTGTCATTAAAACCTCATTATCTAAGAGGGTTGAGAACAGTCCCGCTTTTCCCTCTTCAATGCCTGGAAGGAGTTTCCAGGCACCCCCGAGTGAGAAAAAAGGGAAAGAATCAACGAGAGAGAGAGAAGAAAAAAGGGGCCTTTTTGTTCAACGGTCAGTCAGAGGTCCCCTTTATTTTTGGCACCTGATGGAATGCAATAATTCGACAATGAGCTTGACCATGTCAATGCAGTCGCTAGTTCAAAGACCCCTTACGTTCCTTTTTTCCTTTTCTCGCGTTCGTTTTTTCGGGATGTCTGAAGAGGTTGATGACTCGTGGAACTAGAAGAGATTTCATATTTTCTGTCTTTTCGGCTTGACCTTAAAGACTGTGCAGGCGGGAAAAATGAGGCCAATTTGTTACGGCACCCCCTAACATCATCGATTCTTTGTGGCCGTCGTCCCGCTCCAGAGAGTAAGGCAACGATGAAGAAAAATCACTCCCCCGACCCTGCTGCATACATTTGGAACTCGTGCTCGTGAAACAAAGGGTCTGACGAATGCAAGTACAAGTGGCATGCATACAGGAGCAGGCGACACAAGTCGTCAGTGTTTCCGGCCATCTCGTGTCACTTACGACACATGTTCTGCACATCCCGTCTC